ACGTAGTCATCCGGCCCTGACCCTGACCCCGGGGTCGGGAAAATATCGAGCTCAGGAATCAACCAAACTCAGCGGGCTATGAGCCCGACCTCGAGACACCCGAGGTCGGTACCAAGTCTAACCCTGGAAGCCCAGCTCCGGGTCAACGACAATAGGGCGCCAGACAGTTGACCACCGCCGAGGTGGGAACAGAAGACAGTAGGGCGAATCCTCTCAGCATGAGCCCGAGCCCCCGGGCGTCGACCTCAGTGATTCCTAAGGTCGGAAGAAAGCACCTCACACTTAGACAAAACTCACACAGACTTGACTCGCGGAAAACATCGCCACGTCATCCTCCGTATCAAAGGATATTACAGGTTACCTACACACGATCATACGAGATCCTTGGCAGGAATTCTGTGAGAAGAATAATCAATCAGCCAGCTATCAAGGGCTTTCTCTCTCCAATCAGCTCTCCACGTGGCGGCTCCTGGTCCATTGGGTCTGGTAGTTTGTTAGAATAGCTTTACACGTCTCTCTTTTATTAGACTAGCTCCTTTTGCTTGGCTGCCAAGTATTTCCTTTTCTCCTTAGTATAAATGTCTCCTTCCGGCTTGTGGAAGGGGGTCCTAAATTTTCGCTTTTAAGTACTCGATTTACTGCACTTCTGAGAAGATACTTTGGGATTTCACCAGTTCGCTCTCCTTCATTCTTATTTCGGTGGATTCCGGCCACCCCTTGTCCGACGATCCATCAGTGGTGTTGCGCATAGATGTTGAATATAAGAAACCGTTGAATTTGACTATGGCGCCCACTGAGGCAAGACTATTTGCGAGAAAGTTGTAGCATTGGACGTTGGCTCATCCCAGAACTTTAAGGTCGCCTCCCGACAATATCCACCACTTCAGTACCACCAACTGCAGTACCCTCAATAACTTGGTCAGCCCCTCCTCCATAGATGAAGAGGCTATCTAAAGTTGAAGCTGCAGAACGACGAGCGAAGGGACTTTGTTACACGCGTGATGAAACATATGTACTGGGGCATAGATGCAAACAACTATGCTGTCTTTGGATGTATGATGACGAGGAGGAAGGGTCTGCAAGTCCATTTGGCCGATAGTTATGTTCTTGCAATGATTGATTTAAGGAGCACCCATAATTTCATCCATTCCCAAGCTGCCCTGTCACCCGGGTTGCCAATAACACCTCACCGGGATTTTCGTGTGGCAGGTGGTTAATGGAGAAAAGCTACTAATCACAGGTGTATGCGAGCGAGTGAGACTTGGTAAGGCCGGTAAGGCTGGTGCCGCATTCCTGATTAATCTTTTTGTCTTATCGATAACGGGGTTTGATATTATCCTTGGGTAAAATGGTTGGAGGAATTGGGTGATATCATGATATTATCTGTTTTATGGAGCAATGGAGGAGCTTCTGAATTACTTTGACACCATTTTTCTAATTCTAAGGCACTGCCTCCAACACGCAATTGTGATCACCGTGTTATTCTCAAAGCTGGGACAAATCTGTTTGTTGTTTGATCATATCGCTACTTGCAACTGCAAAAGGATGAAATTGAGAAGCCATGTTTGGAGATGTTGGAAAGGGGACAAATTCAGCCAAATCGAAGCCCATTTTCATCTCCAATACTCCTTGTTACAAAAAGTGGCAACTCATGGCGCTTTTGTGTATATTATCAGGAACTCAATGCACAGACCGTTAAGGATGAATTTCCCATTCCGGTAATTGATGAGCTTTTAGATGAACTTCACGAATCTCAATTCTTCACAAAGCTTGACTTGCGCTTAGGGTACCATCAAATACGCATGAGCCTAGAAGATGTTCAAAAAACAGCATTCTGCACCCATCATGGACATTTTGAATCCCTTGTAATGCTATTTGGCTTGTGCAACGCACCATCCACTTTCCAAACACTTATGAATGAGGTATTCGGGCCCCAACTTCAAAAATTTGTCTTGAGCTTTTTTGAAGTATGGAGGAGAGGAAGAGGAAGATCCAAACAAGCTTGGAATATAGGAATTAGAACTGATATGCTTCTTCTTGGGTTCGATGAGAGTATGGCTTTGGATAGAACAAAGTGGAGGGCACACATTCGTGTGGACGAGTGATCTCTTTTCTATCTTTCCTCTCTCCCTTTCTCTTATTGTTTATGTTCATTATCTTTTGATGTTATTATGTTACTTTTATCTTCTATCTATTTATGCTCTTTCATTATTTTTATATTTTATTCTTCTTATATTCTTATGTTATTGTTATCTTATATTTATTGTTATCTTATCCATTTTATCTATTTCGATTCCTCTTATCTTCTGATTCTTACCCCCTATCTTTGTTTTATTTTTAGCACTGATATCATGGACCGATTCATGTTAGCCAACCCCAAATTCTTTTGAGATTAAGGCTTGAATGTTGTTGTATTAATCTACCATCACACTTGGGTGGAACATTTACAACACAATAGAATTGTGTTTGGGTTACTCCAAACTCATCAAATGTTCCTAAAAAGGCACAAATGTGTTTTCAGCGTGCTAAAGGTAGCTTATCTTGGACATATGTTCCTAAAAAATTCAAGCGATCATTGATTGGCCTGCACCAGTTAAAACCACTGCTCTTTGTGGATTCCTTGGCCTAGCTGGTTTTTACCGACATTTTATCCGGAACTTTGGTGTGCATGCAACACCTAGGACTTCACTTCTTCGTTGCAATGCATTATCATGGTCCAATGAAGCTCAAACATCGTTGACAAGCTCAAAACTGCTTTGTGCAGTTCAACAGTATTGCAATTACCCAACTTCTCCAAGCCATTCATAATTGAATGTGATGCATCAGGGGTGGGTATTGGAATTTGGAGCAATTCTACAACAAGAAAACCACCTCGTTGCCTTCTTCAGCCAGAAGCTCGCAGACTGCCATTTTAAGCTGCCGACATATGAGCTGGAACTGATAGGCTAAGTCCAAGCAATATGAAACTGGAGGCATTATCCTTGGGGTCGCTTTTTCGTGATTCGAACTGATAATTACAGCCTAAAATACTTACTGTAGCGATGCCTTACAACCTTACCACAACAACATTGGATGAGTAAACTCTTAAGTTTGATTTTGAAATTGAATACACACCTAGAAAATTGAACTGAGTGGAAGATTTTCTATTACGAAGGAATGCAAATCCAACAACCCTCATGACAGTTACCATGGTTCACGCATAGTCAATGGAGGATTTAAGGAAGCACCATCAACACTCCGAGGAAGCCATTTTATTTTCAACAAAGCAACACATGGGGAAAATTCTAAATGGACAGTCCGTGATGGCGTGGTCTACTACAAGTACAAAAATATGTGTCGACCTACTTTAATTATATCCCTACTATCCTCACATCAGTTCATAATGCTACTCATGAAGGGATACAATAGACTCTCCATCGCATAAAAAGGGAATTCTATTGGGGAGGCATGTCATCTTATGTACAAGACTTCGTCACCAATTGTGCTTTTTTCCAAAAAAAAAATAAATGGGAAAACTTGCTCCCAACATGTTTACTACAACCCAACATGCTCAAAAATTTCATCAAAAAATTCCGTCGGGAACCACCCCAAACGGCGGTGTTCGGACGGGAAGGTACTGGACAGGAGAATGACTATATATATATATATATATATAATAAGGATCAAATGAGAAGAGTGCTTATCGTAAGAAGTGAGAATGCATCTGGTGCGTTCAATTTAACATCTAATGACTGGAAAAGTGCAAAAAGTATTCAAAAAGTGATGCAAGACGCGGTTGCATTTCCGTAATTAATTGGAACTTTTCCGCCATTCCAAAAAAGTGCATCAGATTAGCAAAAAAGTGCATCAGAAAGCGGTAAATGTGAAACTTCTCACTTCTCACGTTAAGATGTCTTCTCACGTTAAGATGTATCCCCTATATATAGGGGAAAGTTCAAATAAAAAGAGGTGAAAAGTGAAAACGGGTGCACTTTTCCCTCACCGCGTTGCACTATTGCATGTTTCTTATGCACTTTTTTGCGGTGGCAAAAAACTTTGTTTTATTTATGAAATTGGCACCTCATTTTTTTATATCAAATTTAGCTCATTGTTGGCTCATTTTGAGTCATTAGATGTGGAAATGAATATACAAGATTTATTCTCACTTTGAATGGGAAGATCTGTTTGTATTTGAACCATCCTTTATATATATATAAAGCTCATTTCAAGAGTGTATCCCGTGCAAAATGCGCATGGATGCACCTTTACCTCATTTCTAATGCACCTTTACCTCATTCTTAATGAAATTAAGCTTTAAAGTTTTTGTTTTTTGTGGTTTCCCACAAAGTATTTCTCAATTCCGAGATATGGTATGAGTTTTGTTTACTCGGCCTCATTCTACTTAATGTACAAACTAAACCACATTATTTCAGTGCCTAAAATGTAAAAACAAGTTAATGGAGAGAAGTTATCTTTTACTACTATGTTAAAATTATTGTCATATCTAAGAATGTTTTTTTTTGAATTGTTTTCAGTCACAGACCAGACGAGACTAGACTTTAACATGCGAGACTAGACTTTAACAGACCAAATTAGATCAGATTTGAATGGTTATAAAATACATAGAGACCACACATTTACCAGACTAGTTCACACTAGATCAGACCAAATCAGACTTAAATAGGCCAGACCAGAGCAGCAAATTTCAGTACAAAAGAAAACTTCCTAATACTCCCAAGGTCCTAGAATAATCTTCTTCTGAGTTGGCTCACAATGTGTTTGGAAATGAAAATACAGTGTTAAGATTTGAGTTGAAAAGAGAAATAATAGTCATTTAACTTTTTTTTCGAAATGCAAAGATTATTGGGGGATACACCAAAAAGAATAGCTACTAAAGAAACAAGAAGAATATTTTCGGCAGAAACCCGATCCAATGCCATTAGAGTTGTGTCTCAATTATAATCTCGATCATCATCTCTTGTATCTTACACTACGCAATCAATACTTGTTTGTCGATACAGATTTCTGCAATCACTTGGGTAGTCGGGACGTTGATCATGGGAATCAACATCTATTACCTAGGGGAGAAATTAGTTACCACCCTCAGGAACAGTCATCTTAAGGTCGCAAGCAAGCTGTTGTGCGGAGTCTTGGGGTTCTCAGCATTATTGGTCTACTTGAGTAGCATTGCGTACCTAGTCATTAGGAAGAACAAGGAACGGACAAACCTTCTCGCGCTTACAAACGAGGCAGGTTACCCAGGCAGGATATTCTAAGCATGCAATTGTTATTACACTTTTATTACAAATTATTATAATAAAAATAATGATTATAATAAAATAATAATAATAACAACAACAATAATTAATAACAAATAACTATTATTAGTAATTACGAGTACTTTTTAATCATTACTTGTTATAACACTTTTATTACAAATTATAAAACTATAAAAGCATACATAATTTACTACTGGGGTAATTACTAGAGAACTTTAAAATACCAGCCAACTTGAAGATTTGCACGTCATAGTTTATTGTAAAGAATGAATTGTTATTAGATTTTGATGATGTTTTACAAATTAGGAATTTAAAGTACCCTTGTAGATAGATTGTATTTACAATTTTCTGTTGTAAGTTTAGAATAATTGACTGTAAGAACAACACACTTCTGCTTCACTTTGGACAGAACTGCTAAGGCAAGAGTTTTGGCAATACTCTTGACCTTGAGCAGAACGGCTTCAATAGAAACACACCAGAAGAGCTCCCTCGCACATAAATGTTCAAGTCTTTGAAGTCTCCGTTATAATAATGGGATATTCCTTAACGACGATGAGCCTCTTAACAGAAGATGTACAAAGTTGCACATTACATGCTCATTTAATAATATTTATTACTCCCAAAATAGTAAGTTTATGAGAATATTGAAACTGACCGGTCAAGTCTACAGGCTGCCCGACCAGAACTACATATTTTGCTGCAAGCCTGTTCTGACTAGAACAACGCCATTTCTGTGAGATAGATAGTTTCTGCCTCACAAAGAAACGAAAAACCATGAATAGTCTATTCGACCCCTCTAGACCATCTCTCTGATATTAAGCAGGACCAACATTTATAACTCTAGTCATTAACTATCTAATTATTGCACTTAGTATTAGACTATTAGGGTATTGGGCCGACCCAACATCCTTAGACCACCTTTCTGCCTTGCCTGCTATAAACATAAGGCCGTGGCCAGAAGGTCGAACAAGATGTACCAGAGAGGGGTTTAGCTCGAGATGCCCACACTAGCAATCACGAGAGGAGGCGAACGCCCCAGTTGGGCCAAGCGGTATCCACGAAATGACAAACCTAAAAGTGCTTGCATTCGGTTCTCCCATGCGGACACTCGATTGTATAAACGGTCGTTGCTAGGAGTGGACTTGGGCCGGGCCAACCGGCCCGGAACCGGACCGGCCCGCTACTGTGCGGGCCCAGAACCGGACCGGCCCGCTACTGTGCGGGCCCGGACCGGTGAACCGGTTGGTGCCCGGTTTGGGCCACCCGGCCCGGTAAAGTAGGCGGTTCGGGCCCGGGCCTCCTAAATCGTGAACCGGCTCGACCGGTTCGGGCCTGGTCTGGGCCAATTTATTTATTTTTTATTTTTTTGATTTTTTTTTAAGTTTTTGGGTTGGCTGGATATGATGGGCCATTTGAGGTGGTTTGGGGGTGAGGGGGGGAGTGTTGGGGGTTAATTAGGAAAAGCGAAAAAAAAATACAAGAATCGAGGCCTGGCCTGGCCCGGCCCGGACTCGGGGTTACTCGGGCCGGTTCCGGGCCTCCCCTTTCTTGAACCGAGGCCCGGCTGGGCCCAGGCCCGAACCGGGCCCGAACCGGAACCGGTCCGCCCCTAGTCGTTGCACATGCACAAATGCGGTCAGGGGACAGGTTGACCATGCCATGAAAATTGGTGGGAAACTCAGAATTGGTGGGAAGAACATTTAATGTGCAGATCCGTCTAAAAATGGGCGACGAGGCAACTCAGCAAAATAGGATAGCATTATAGCAACACGTTCCTGAGCCCGAGTACCACAGGCTTACTATAAATAATACCTCATAAATTAAAGAAGGGATTAGCTTCTAAGCATTTAATAGCATTGAGCCAATGACTACTCTCTTCGTGTAAACGTTACTGTAAGAGTTATTATTCATTAATACGAACTTGTTGGGGGTATTGGACTGATCGAGTAATTGGGCCCGCCCAAAACCATTGGAGGTCATTCCTCTATACATCTACTAAATAGCAAGTGAGGTTGGACGGTGCCCTCATGGGCTGAATGAAATCAGAGGCTGAGGGATCCCTTGTGGGCCGAAAGGAACTCAAAGGATGGATGAGCCCACATGGGTCGAGCCTCGGGTTTTCAAGTGTAGAATCAAGGGAGTGGCCGAGTGTCCCTAGATCGAGCGGACGACCTAACAATATCTCAGACTGGGCAGTAGACAAGCTCAGCATCAAGATGGACGCTTGCCCTTGACATAAGGCAAACGGTCCTAGTCCTTGCATCATTGTTTTGGTGGGCTAGTTGACATATATGTGAATTGACGAGAAAGTTGGGAACTAACAGAAAGCGAATTAAATGCAATGCATGGACTGAGCAAGTGGGTAGCATCAAGTGACATGACAGGATGGCTTTGATAGAGTGATTATTTGTCTTTCCTCAATTAATCTGAGGAGATTCAATCCAATATATATAATGATGTTGTACAAGGATAATGAGTGCATGAATTAATTACAAGAGGATTCTAGAGAATACTAGTTTAGTTACAATTATGACTAAGTAACACTATTTACCCCCCGTCAAGCGATGTGTGGGGTTCAAACAAACGCATAGCATGGATCGAAGAAACTCAAATGTTGGTCGAGGAAGACTTTTGGTAAAAATGTCAGTAAGCTGTAGGTGTGAAAGAACGAATTGGGTGGAGAGTAACCTGGATGTGACCATTTCTCGGATAAAGTGATAGTCAATGTCAATATGTTTGGCACGCTTGTGGGCAACCGGGTTTTGAGTTAAGAAGATAGCACTCTTATTGTCACATAAAATGACAGGTGGAGAAACAGTAGGTACGCGAAGCTCTCGAAGTAAATGAACCAGCCACATGACTTCAGAGGTGGTATTTGCAAGAGCCCGATATTCGGATTCACTGCTAGAACGAGAAACAGTCGGTTGTTTCTTTGCACTCCAAGAGACAAGATTTCCACCAAGAAATACAGAATAACCAAAGGTGGAACGTCGTGTTTCGACACAATGTGCCCAATCAGCATCAGATAATGCGGTAATGGATGGTGTAGAGCGATGATCAAAGGAGAGACCATAGTGGATAGTACCTTTGACATACCAAAGTATTCTCTTAACAGCAAGAAAGTGCTCCTCTGAAGGTGAATGCAAGAACTGTCTAACAGAATTTACACCACCACAATGGAACGAGTGATAGTCAGATATTGTAGCGCGCCTACAATGGAACGATAAAGTGTGAGATCAGAGAACGGCTGACCGGTGCTTATTAAAGTTGTACCGGGGGCTAAAGGAGAGGAGATGGGTTTAGAATCTAGGATAGCACCACGTTCCAGAATATCATGAGCGTATTTGGATTGCCCAACAAATAAACTAGTGGAAGTGTAAGATACTTCAAGTCCCAAGAAATAATTTAGTTTTCCAAGATCTTTGATGGAGAATTCTTTATGAGTGCGAGAAATAAACTTTTGAAGGAGCTCAGGATTATTTCCAGTGACAATTATGTCATCAACATAGAGTAATAAATAGATAATCGATGAGTCCCGATGTAGATAAAATAAAGAAGCGTCAGAATGACTTTGTCGGAACCCAAGGCGAAAAAGAAAATCACTGAAGCGGCGGAACCAAGGCAAGGGAGCTTGTCGAAGCCCATAAAGTGCCTTCTTTAACCGACATACATAATTGGGAAATTGAGGATCGACGAAACCAGGTGGTTGAGCCATATATACAGGTTTGTGAAGAACTCCATTTAGAAAGGCATTGTTTACATCGAGTTGGTGAAGTTCCCATTTGTAGTGAACTGAAAGGGCTAAGATAACTCGGACAGTTGCAGCTTTAACAACTGGGCTAAAAGTATTAGAGAAATCAAGACCGGGTATCTGTGTGAAACCTTGTGCAACTAGTCGTGCCTTATACCGATCAATGGTTTCGTCGGAGTGATACTTAGTGCGAAAAACCCATTTGGAGCCAATGACATTTGCACGGGGTGGACATGGCACAAGATCCCATGTATTATTGTTTCGAATAACATCGAGATCCTGTTTCATGGAAGCTACCCAGTGGGGATGTTTCATAGCAGACTTGATCCATCGAGGTTCAGTGGAGGCAAGAAGAGCGGATGTTAGTGGTGAGGAAGCAAAATCAACAGGGTACTTGGGTTTAAAGATACCAGATTTTGCCCGAGTAATCATCGGATGTGTAGACCGAGGTAGTGGAGGTGGGGAAGAAGGGGTATGTTGACTGGGCGGTTCTGGTGAAGTGGGAGTAGGAGATGGAGAATGTTGAGGGGTATCAATGCAGGCTCGGCAAGGTCCGCAAGTTTGCTGAATAGTAGGAAGAACTGGTGCTGGTAGTGTTGAAGAAGATACAGGTCCTTGTTCACAAAACGCAGATACATCAAGTTGAGAAGGACTAGATGAACTATGGTCGCCTGTCAATGGAAAAAATTGTTCATCAAATTGTGCATGACGTGTAGTAAAAATCTGAGAAGTGAGAGGATCGTAACACCGAAAGCCTTTGTAGGAGCTGCTATACCCCCCAAAAAATACATGGACGACTTCTGGGAGCTAATTTGTTGGGAGCATAATCTCGAAGATATGGAAATATTCGACAACCACAAGGTTTAAAAATATCATAATTAGGAGGAACCCCAAACAAAAGTTCATAAGGAGACTTTTCGGCCAAGATGGGGGTTGGGAGGTGATTCATGATATAGACGGCTGTGGCAAAGGCCTCAAACCAAAATGTTGCGGGAACATTGGCTTGAAACATCATGGATAAACCAACTTCAATGACATGACGATGCTTGCGTTCAGCTCGACCATTTTGCCGAGGAGTGTTCGGACAGGAGATTTGATGGTGAATGCCATTGGAATGCATAAAATCCCGTACACATTGACTTGTAAACTCAGAGCCTTCGTCAGTTTGAAAAACTTTTAGGGTGGTGGAAAACTGGTTACAAACAAATTTGTGAAACCGTTCAAAGGTGGCAAAAAAATCCGACTTTGCTCGCAATGGATAGAGCCACGAAAATCTAGAGTAGTCATCGATGAAAATAACATAGTAGCGATACCCATCAGTAGTGGTAATAGGTGCAGGTCCCCATAAATCACAATGAACAAGATCAAGTAATTGAGACGCACGTTTGTCATTTAAAGGAAATGGCAGTCTTTTGCTTTTTGCTAATTGACAGGAAGTGCAAAGACCTGGATTTGGTAGAATTGAAGTAACAGATAAGTGCCCAAGTTTCTGTAAAAGAGAAATCACACGATATGGGACATGCCCCAATCGTATATGCCATAAATGAAATGATGCTTTTAAATTAGATGACCGCAACTTTGCTATCAAAGCTAGATGTCCACGCTCCAGAACATATAGGCTCTGTTCACATCGTCCTTGAGCTAGAGCTGTCTTGGTATGCCGGTGCTGAATAACAAAAAATTTGTCAGAGAAAACAACATCAACGGGGTAATCAGCGGTAAGTTTGCTAATTGATAAGAGAATTTTGGTTATATGTGGAACAACCAACACATCTAGCATATGAAGATTGGGAGATAAGGTGCAATCTCCAATATGAGAAATTTTTAAAGAAGACCTGTTACCAATGATAACACTACCATTACCGGTGTAGGGTGCACAGTGGTCCAGAACGGACGGTTGGGATGTCATGTGAGCACTAGCCCCCGTATCAACATGCCAGTCTGAAACTGGAGTAGTAATATTACAAGAGGAGTTGAAGGCTTGAGCTAGATGGGCAGCAGATGAGGGATCCAGGCGGTGAAGAAACTGAGGGCACCGGTCAGTGAAATGGTCTCCCCAACAAATCTGGCAGCGTGGAGTGAAGGTCCTTCTTGACTCGTTGTGACTACTGGAGCGTGGATGTGGACTGGATTGACCATGGCGAGGGTTGTTAGAGCTTCCACGACCAGTTGAAGTAAGACGCTGCGAGAGGAATTACCTCGTGGGGAGGTCCTCGCCCGTGAGAGAGACCTCATATTGCTCTGCCTGGGGAATCAAATCGCTGAGAGCGGGAATCAGATGGTGTGACATCCGAGTATCTGCAAAGTTCAGGAATTGACGACCAAATCCGCGTAGAAACCAATGGCTTTTGTCTGATTCATCCACAGGACGTCCAATAGCCGACAGTGCGTTGCACAAATCTTTGAATTTGCGGCCATAATCTGAAACAGGGAGTGAGCCGCGGCGGAGGGACATCAGCTCGTCTCTGAGTTGGTTGGCTCGGGAAACAGAGGATGGCGAGAAGGCAGATTGAAGAGCTAGCCACGCTTCTCGTGATGTGGTGCAGCCAACGACTTCAGTTATGGATTCCTCAGTGAGGGTGGAGAAGAGGACACCAAGAATTTTTTGGTCTGTTGCTCGCCATGCTGCATATTCTGGATTAGGAGCTTCAACGCCATCAGTGAGAATAGTTGGTGCAGGAGCAGCGGTGGAACCATCAACGTATCCAAGCAAGTCGAAAGCAGTAAGCATGGGGAAAATCTGGCTTTTCCATAGGAGAAAATTGGTAGAGGAGAGCTTGATAGTAATCTTGTGTACCATGGTAGCAATCGGTACAGAGTCGGAGCAGGAGGAAGTTGTTGTCATGATGGGCGAAGAAGGAGGGTAGCGGAAGAGTTTTTGCAAAGTCTGGGGAAGGGAAAAGGCGTTCGGTTGTTTTAGGCTGATACCATGATAGAGTGATTATTTGTCTTTCCTCAATTAATCTGAGGAGATTTAATCCACTATATATAATGATGTTGTACAAGGATAATGAGTATATGAATTAATTACAAGAGGATTCTAGAGAATACTAGTTTAGTTACAATTATGACTAAGTAACACTATTAGGCTTGACCTACCGAAAGTTGACACTTCACCTATGTCCATACTGACCAATTAGTATAAATACCCCCACATTTGATCAGGTGCGGAGGGTTTCGAAATTGCATCATGTAGCATGTAATTTTTCCTCTTGTAAATAAGTACTTTAACCATCGATGGAGCAGATTATGCTTGGACCGGCCCCGGGCCGGGCCTAGGTCCGGTCGGGCCTTCGGGTTATTACAGGTGGGCCCAGGACCGGCCCGGGTAGCCACCAGGTTTGGCCCGAGCCTCTTTTTAATTTTATTTTCCTTTTCCTAATTAACCCCCTCCCACCCCCAACCCCCCAAACCACTCCAAATGGCCCAAAATACCCAGCCCAACCTGAAAAGTTAAAAAAATTGAAAAAAATAAAAAACCTGGAACCGGGCACGAAGCGGTCGGGTCGGTTCGGCTTTTGGGTGACCTGAGCCCGCACCGGGAAGCCCGGGTCGGGCCTACCTAGGGGTGAGCAAATAACCGATTTAACCGACCTGACCGAAAACCGATGACCGAACTGACTGAAAAAATTGGTTATCGGTCAGGTTTAGGTTATAATAAATTAAAAAGAATCGGTTATTCGGTTATTCGGTTTTTATTCGGTTAAATTTATCGGTTATCAGTCGGTCATCGATAACCGTCCAAAATATATTAGTTTTTTTTAAGGAAAAGAAGTTTTATTGAAGTCCATAGTATGAAGTTCAGCTCACACTTATTTGAAGTCCACCTATGAAACCCAATAGTCGAATGCTCTGGAGCCCTCAACCCTTGACCTCGTTAGATCAGTTTGCTGGTTTGGAGTTAAATGTTTAAGAAGTAAATAGCTTAATTATTTGCTAACATGTCATTGTTTATTTTGTCTCCCGATTGAAAAAGATGTATGTGGGTGAAGCATCATGTTTGCATATGTAGTGTGCTTTGTACTATTTATTACATTTAAATAAGTTAAATCTATTTTGGTATTTATTATTTTACTTCTTAATGCGTTGTCTACAACTTTCATAATTTTTAAAATTATATGCTTTTGAAATAGGGTCGGTTATTCGGTTACCGACCGAAACTGAAAGGCATTTTTCGGTCTGTTTTTGTAATGTTGTTGGTCGGTTATCGATCGGTTATTAGAGTAAAAAATATTGGTCGGTTAGTCGGTTATCGGTCAGTTATTTGACCGACCGAATGCTCACCCCTAGGCCTACCTGGACCGGTTACTGGCCGGGCCACCGGGCCAGGCCGGTTCAGCACAGTACCGGTCCCGGGTCGGTTCCGGATCGGGCCACCCGGCCCGAGTCCAAGCCTAGAGCAGATTAGCCTAAACTCATAGCTTGTTCTTGACTATATCGTAATAGTTCTATCATAATACGAACTAGATATATTTTGATCTTGCATTTTCATCCTATATTTCTGCACTCACTAAATATATCGAATGAGTCGATCTCACCCACCAAAGATATCATGTTGAACCTTTAGACAGAGGAACGATTTTCAACAGAACAAAGTACATCCTGATCGTTCACCACCTACCAAAGGATTTGCATTGGACTTTTGGGTTGGGTGAATTAACATTAACACTTAGTTGTAGCAAACTAGCAATAGTATTTAAAGAAAAACCAATATATAATGTTCAATGTGGTGCATCCTAAGTACATACAATAATGTTCTGCGAGTTTTGCTACCTGAACGTTCCGTGAGTTTTGGGAATTATTTTATTTAAATAATCTTATTATTTATTACTTAATCTATTTTTAAATAAATTAACTGCACTTTTATAATTCAAAATGAAGAAATATATTAAAAAAATTGGATCTAGAAAACCGCATTGGAATCAAATAGGGCTGGATTTAGAACGAGGAACCAGTGGTTTGATTCCGGTTCCGATTCGATTTGGAACTGGGGACACCCCTACACTCACGTTATTTTACTTTCTGTTTCCGTGTGTCCGAAGTAAGATTAAAGCTACTGATGTGGTCTCCTAATTCTTTTGGGAAAAAACAAATCAATTTCCCTTTTTTATATATATTTTTATTTTTTTATTAATATAATACGTAGTATATTTTAAGAGTTCGTTCGACATCACTGAAATTGGCTAAAGTGACTGGATTGGTCAAATATGGTGAAATCGTGAAAAATTTATATTTACAAAAGATTTATTATTAAACAACAAAGAAAAAGTTATATGAAAATATAGCTAACATAATAGTCATTTTTAGCAATTTCAGCCAATTCTACTAGAATGTTAACTTCAATCTTGTTTTGATTATTATTCAATTCAGCTGCTGAATATAGAGAATTAGAGATTATCAAATGGGTTTTAAATATACTACTTAGTATTCATAATTCGACAAGTTTCTTTTATTTCAGTAACAAATTTCAAGGTTATCAAACAAAATCTTTACTTACGGGTTGCAATTATGGGTAAGATTTCGTGGAAGGTTAGGGTATTTTTTGCAACCATGCTTTATCTATAAACCTAATTATTAGTCAGTATGAAAATTGTGTATTTACTTCGTTGTTCAATTTTTCTCTCCAATGGGATGGATTTAGGGGGGGGCGTGGGGGGCGACCACCCCCTTGGACTTTTAAAATTTTCCATTATATATGTAATATTTTCATAAAATTTTTCATACTTTAATTAGATATATATGTGTTCGTCCCCCTTAACTTTTAATTTTTAAAATTAATATATAGCCTTACATAATATAAAACTTAATTGGAGATTTAAAAGAAGAAATGACTAAAATAATTTACATACTTAAGCAAATAAACAATACTAGTTTAAGACTTGGGATATTTATTATGTTAAAAAGATGGTGTAGAAAACTGAGAGGAGGTCATATGCAAAAGATGGTCATAGTCCACTCGCCCAACACACTCGAACACAACAAAGCAATGCTCGTCATAACTTGACCATATGTGTCCACATCATGTGACTCACTCACTGTGGCAGTCGCTCGCTCATGTATACGTTGCAAAGCCAGAGTCTGAAATGTGCAACATTAATAATAATTATTTTCAAATACAAAATGTTAAATAGAGATGAATAACTATAGTAGCACACTTACTGTCAAGTGCACAACCATGGAACTAGGCTGATAATGGTGAGTAGGTACCTTGAAAGAAGGGGAGGCAAACAATCGTGTGATGGTGTAATACCATCTCATGTAGTCCAAAGAAACTGATGGTTGTACTGTCGGCATCCTAGTGGCAACAAGCTCCGCTCGCCTCTCCCATACAGTGACGTATCGGACGTGCCTGAGCGACCAATCCTCTGTAGGCTTCCCATGCCTATCTAGCTTATGAAGATCCACACATGTGCTCATAGATGCTTGAATGACCTGCTCATAGTCAAACTGACGCAGTACACAATCAGGCAAATGCTGCTCAACAATGTCAAAACATATCAATGACACACGTGCTCGCCATATATCATAAAGCATGCTCTCGTCCTGCCAGGGGCAACTCCTCCAACATCTCGGTTGTATATGGTATCCATGTAATCTTTTTTATAAGGAAAAAAAATTACTCGTACTGCTATTCATGTGATAGCTAATGTTATATTATGTACACCAAATCTGATCATCAGACATGTGATCAAATGCATCACTTACAAATCATGTAGTATATATTCATATAAATTCAAATAATACTTGTATTCATAACATAAAAAAATATAAACGTCTAAAACATACTTACATCCCAAAGGGTTCTCGCCTCGTCGATGATGTGGTCCAAGGAGTCGTGGAGGCTGATCATGAAGTGGGTGTTCGTTTGGCCCATGGTATCGTACTATAATTGGGTGACCTGTCTGAATAATACTCCCATGACCAAATCTGTAAGAACAATAAAAAACCACCAATCTATGTGCTCCCATTCTGACAACCTCGACATAGCTGCCTATATAGATAAGCTAGAGTGACACTACCCTCAACTGAAGTATGCAGCGACATCAAAACTCTCTAGCATAGGCAAATACAACACCTGAACCTCATTACCACTCTTGTCAGCAAAAGTGGAAGCTCCCATCAACACCAGAATGTATACTCGTGCATGCTACTGAATCATCACATCATGTGCATCCGGAGGAAGTATAACGAAATGCTCCCTCAGCCATGACATCTTCAAAGACGACCCATGAATATCTGTCCGGAGAAGGGGGCGAACACCCAACAATCGCTCCACATCCTCAACCCATGGTCGACATGAAGTACCTGTAACTGCTCTCACATGGACCTGTAAGCCAGCCAGTACAGCCACATCCCTTAAGGTCACTGCCACCTCACCAACTTGCAAGTGAAATGTGTGTGTCTCCTGCCTCTAACGTTCAAGAAGATCAATAACCGAAGCTCTATCAAGTGGGATCGTCGACTTGAATCTATGAACACAAAAATCACCAGCTACTCTAATATACGTTAAAACTCTATCGCCCACCTACATGTGAAACAAACTACGAAGGTGCTCTTGACACCTATCAACCTGCACATCGAGGCCATGGCACACGTCTTCACTCCTATACGTGGCCTGCAATGTGAGGACAGAACGATCAGTTGGCCCTGAATCCACCGACACGCCCATAGTGCATAAAATACATGAAAACGTGTGCTAGTCATAAATTAATTAATAAATATACATAAATAAGTCATTTTTTAAATCATATTAGTAGCACTTGTGGATTTAAAGAGTTAAAACCTTACCCAGTGGGCCCCCACCATCTCCTGAAGTTCTCTTTGCACATGTGGCCCTATTATGGCCAATTTGTTTACAAATTCCACATCTTACACCTTTTCCACCTTCATCCATCTCATTCTTAATTCATGTGAACTTATGTTGTCCCTTTGCACGGAGCATGGATGGGTCGTGCACAATTCATGATCCAGTGTAAGTCGGCCAATAAGCACCGTCGAGAATGAGTTTAAAAACTCTTTTATATGAAGCGGCGTATTCGGAAGATGAGAAAAAAGGATCCACAAAAGTATGGTAAGACAAACTACGTTGTCTACACACAGCTAATACATGTGAGCATGTAATCTTATATAGTTTCACCTTCTTACAAGAACAAGTATGCCTCTGCAAAGAAACTGTTTGCTTTTTCCCACCCTTTCCCAACGCATGGCCGCCACATCCAGTTTCCACTTGTTATAGCCCTTGGCCTATATAAATGTAGTGACAGTTTGGTGTTTTTCCTTCTCCTTATTCTTCTTAATAATATATGTTATGTGTGGTGAGTACTCATGGCCTTTTGACATTCTTCTTTTGCTACATTCATGTCTGTCTACAAAATATGCATTGACCCGGTAAAAGGAAACCTGAACCAAGACTATGATGGGCAAGTATCGTGCACTTTTCATCGCACTGTTGAAAACCTCAGCCATATTAGAAGTCGTGGTACCGTATGTGAATGCCCTATCAAGGGACCTGATAGGGAATGTTCCTATCAACAATTTTTCAAGGTGTAATGACCACTTTTTCAAGGGAATGTTCCCCAACAATTGTCATGCCTTCCCCCGCATTTCACATATCCTGTTGAACCCACCATCAATTGTTTTCCTGATATTGCCGTGTGGTCCAAACAAAAAGATTTTTCATTTGAATGTCTTTGAAATGTGTGTGCACATTTGATGCAAGATGACGCATACACAGTCTGTGGTGCGCAACGGGCTCCTCCCAACCACTCCCCACCTCATTCACTGCCTTTAACATACTGGGATGTCTAATCAGAAACAACACATAATTATCTTTTCGTGACAAATGCCCGAATGCAGGCCATAAACCATGACCAACTCTCCCCATTTTCTGATTCAACTATTCCAAACGCCAAAGGAAAGAGTTGATTGTTTGCATCGCTGCCCATAGCCACGAGTAATGTACCTTTGTACTTCCCATACATGTGTGTCTCATCAATAGTCAATACTAGTGGACAATGCTTAAACCCATGAATACAATTGAAGGTTTGAATGCCCAAAAGACTCTATGAAAATGGACACACTCAGTGGGACCTTTAAGGGGCGTGTACCAGTGCACAATTGTCTCCGGATTGGAATGTTGGAGCGCTGGCATGAAATGGGGCAATTCTGAATATGACCTCTCCCAACCTCCAAAACTTCCAGCAATTGCATTTTGCTTACGCAACCATGTTCATCTGTAGGAGACACTATAACCATACTTTTCCTTCATCAACACAATAATGGTATGAACTGTAAATAATGGATCAATGCGAAAAAGTTCAATTACATCTTGGGCACTAAATTCAGAAATAATAGCCACATGATCATCACTGTCACGCCCCGGACCGCATCCAAGCCACGTAGACAACCGTCGTACAACCCGATAAGAACAACAACAGTTCATTCCTATTGAATTGCACAAGGCGTCCGATTGATTCTATTGCCAAACCGATTATTAAACACATATAATCAACATCAATATCATAATCAAACAAATGCGGAAATAATAATATGTTTGACACTTAGCCACACGTGGCAAACACGGGCACACATGCCCCCAACTGTTTTAAGGAAAACATTGTTCAAAAATCCATGAGCAGTTTATAAATTTCAAATACGAATGGAAGCACGAACCACGTCTTCCTCCTTGGACGATCACCCTAGGCAAAGGTGCAGGTAGTAGGACTCTAGACTTAACCTGAAAAATGTGAGGGGCCCCCGGAGGGGTCAGTACTCCATAGAAGTACTAGTGACAAGCAGGCTATATGAAGAATAACTAATGTTTCAGACACGAGACCCAAAAATAGGGTGATATATATATATATATATATATATATATATATATATATATGTGTGTGTGTGTGTGTGTGTGTGTGTGTGTGTGTGACTCATCCACCCGATGATACATACTGTATATATTTGTAAAATACTCAACCCGTAGGTCATTTCATTTAAAGAGTCTTTTAGAGATAAAGTTCTTACCTGACTTTTCTCGCTCCTTTCCCGATTGCCTAGATCACAAGCTATAGTCTACCTTCGATTCATACTACCGAGTGTTTTAGGATCATTTACCGTCCAAGGCACTCAACCCAACCTAGAGTATTGAGGATCATTTACCGTCCAAGGCACTCAACCCAACCTGGAGTATTTAGGATCATTTACCGTCCAAGGGTACTCGGACCCACCTGGAGTATTCTAGATCATTTACCGTCCAAGGGTACTCGACCCCACCTGGAGTATTCTGGATCATTTACCGTCCAAGGGTACTCGACCCCACCTGGAGTATTCTGGACCATTTACCGTCCAAAGGTACTCGATCCCCAGTCTATCCTCTACCAAATCCTAACTTGGATATGGCTAACCTTTCATTCCTTTAACTATGGGCAATGCCTAGCCCTATAGTCATATAACAATCCTTAGGAACCAATGTGGGTGGGTCCCACCTGAACGGCCCACGTTAACCTACTCAAAACTGCCCGTTTTGAGCATAAACCAATACTCGATCGAGTATCTACCCATACTCGGTCGAGTACAGGAGACAGTAGCCCACAAAGCTAATTTTCAATGTATACTCGATCGAGTATCTACCCATACTCGATCGGGTATAGGAGGCAGTAGCCCCCCTGGGGCAATTCTTCAGCAAATACCCGGTCGGGTATGTGTCAATATCCGGTCGGGTATGGCAGTTGACTTAGCGGTCAACGCCCGTTTGACCACACAAACGAAGTCCAATTAACGTGAAATTTTATACACATATACTTCTTGAAGTCCTTGATCGAAAAATACCATTTTGGATCCTCGGAACATCACACATAATAAGTTATCACATTTTTAATCACCAAACCTACATAACATGCTTTTCAACTATGTTTTATGTATAATCATGGCATCAGCAAACACTTGGTTATCTTTAATCATTCCACAAAAAATATCCTTGATTACTTTAGGTAATCTCATGCCTCACGCAAAAGTTATAAAGCATAAATCCGTCTTCTCACCTTAATGGAGCTTATGAAGTTCTAGCCCTCCCGATTTAGCTCCGGCGAAACTTCGACGAACTTCAACGAACTCCGGCGACAACTCCGGCGACCCTTTCAACTCCGTGAAAGTTCCTTGAATACCTTAGACAAGTTACTAACAAGGGTTTATCATCATAAAACCCATAGTAATACAAATAACCTCCAAAAGGTTATTTTCCGGCGAACCGGTCACTTTGGCTTCTAAGTCCGTTCTTGGACCTAGAACCACCTTCCAACCCCTCATTCTACACTTACAAACGTGTAGAACAATCCTAGGGTGTGAAATATGATTGTATAATCATATTAAAAGATTAAAGAAAACGAAATAGGATTAACGGGGTCATTACCTTGTAAATCTCAAGTTTTCCTCCCTAACCTCCTCCTTTCTCTTCTTTCTTCCCTTCCTTCTTCCTCTCCTTGCTTTGTGCGTATAGGGATGGAAAAGATGGAGTATTACAGAGCTTCTCTCACCTTACTTGAGGGATGGGCCGAGCTGGGGGTGTATGGTTGATTGAAAATGCCTTTTTGGCATTTCTCACAAAGATGACATGGGGGAGGGTCCATTCCATTTATTGGTTTGGCCTTCGGTCATTTCTTGCTCAATTCCCACAAGGTTTTGCGGCTCCCTTGCCCTCCTTGCAGAGCTAAAAATGTG